CTGGCAATAAACAAAGGAGCACAAATTAGCGGAGTGTTCGTGACATGGTCCACTTGGCAAGTGGCTCGCGCGCGCAGCGCGGTACCGTTGCGTCACTAGCGGTCACGTGAACGGAACGGAACGGAACGGGGCGGCTGACCGCGCGAGGGCCGCTTCTGCATAATTTTCTGCTTTTGCAAACCCTTACGCTGGGGCCACACGAGCGCACAAAATGCGTCCGTTGTAACGAACGTACTTTATGACGGACGTTGCTGAGGACACCACACAGTTGCAGAATGCGGTGCGTAGTTTTTTGTCTGCAATGGAGCCAGAAGAAAGCGTATCATTCGCCTCTCTTGCGTATTTCTACAACGGACTTCACGATGTTCGTTACAACGGACGCATTTTGTGTGCTCGTGTGGCCCCACCTTTAATCGCGTCTTCCTCTGGGACATGAACAACGGTGAATTATCAAAATGTAACCAGGAGTGGACTGAGGAGGCCGCCACATGTCATCTGAAGAGGCTCTCGTCTGGTCCTGCCTACGGAGGCCTTTATGTCAACCATGCAAACATGGTCTACTCTAGCACAGGCTAGACCATGGCGTAGTATGTAATGACAGGAACAAGTATGGGCACTTGAGCCCAAGCACGGATGTTCTCCTCACTGCATCCGCTTCGTCGTTTCCCGCAGTTCTACACGTATTGCAGGAGATGCTAAAAATGTTGCCTACCCGTTTGGATACATTACCAGCGCCTTCTAAACATATTCTGGATCGCAGCGTACTTGTTCTCTGGACACATGGGACACATGCAGCTGGATGTTTCCTCTCAGTTCTTCTGTCTGAGAATCCGTTTGCTGGATTCTGTCAGCAATATGACCAGTTCAGAATCCCGGAAATGCTGCCACATAGTTGTTCTTTATCTGTTGGTTACCTTAAGAATAGCTGCATTATCTGTCTGACATGAAGGTAAAAGGTACAACTATCCCTGTAACAGGCCCTAGAGGTCCATAGGGCTGTAAGACGTCTAGACTCCCACATTTACTAGATAATCGGCTCATATATGGCGGTGAGGTTGTCAGCCTTACGAGCCGACCGCCCTTTACCCCAGTGAAGATTCCCGGTACTCGTTCCTGTTAGATGCCGAGTGGACCCCAAGGCCATATCTAAGAAAAATATTTGTTTCTGCACCTTTCTCGTACTCAAGACACACGAAACATAAACTTGAACATCATGGAGTGGTATTTCGTGCATGAAATTCAGTTTTACTTCGCTCGAGTGTGTGTTAACATGTCCATTGGAATAAAGCCAAGCCTTTCCTGAACAAGAAGCCAATTCGGATCAGGCTCGTCATCGTCAGCTGACTGAAGATATGAGAGTCTGAAACGAATTCCGGCTTCAAAGATTGCGTAGCTGCGGGGCTGCAGTGACTCGGCGCCGGTTTCTTGTGCAAGGTGCTCAGCAGTGAACGAAGGTTGCCTACTGCAACCCACACGAGTTCTCTAAGACGGCATACACTTCCTCTATCTATCGCTGCTCACTCATCAAGATGGATGCAAAAACGACTGCGGCAATGTGCTCAGTGGCTCAGCCGGCCAAATTATCTGCCTGCCTTTCCTTATTTTCGAGGAAAGAATCGGAGTTACATTCATGCAACGGCGCAGAACACTGAGTCGAGGGGTGGCACTTCTGCTTCGTATTCAGGAAGTCCCGGATTCAAAAGCCTGGCGGAAGGAGACTATTCGGAAGACCTTGCAGTAGATGGGAGGATACTATTAAAATTTAATGGGATGTAAAATGTGGAACAGATTCACGTGGCTCAGGAGAGAGACGAACGGTGAACACGGCAATGAAACTCTGCGCTGAAGTTCTCGAGTAAATTGAGTGACTTGTTCAGAAGAACTGTGTTCCAGGGACTCAGTGCGGGTGCTACCGCACTCCAGCAAGTTCTGAAACTGTAGATATATCATGAGAGTACATACTGTACTGTTCCGGGTTTTAAAGGCCACAGTCTGCATTTCAGCCTTGAATTATGACATTAAGCTCACAACTGTATGGTCGCCATTCCCTTGCACAGTCAACGAAATCAGCTGCAGGTTTGCTTCTCGCAGTAATGGGATATCCGGCCTGTAGGGACGTAATTCGTCTGGAGAGACTGAGGAAAACCACGACGAGTCTCGGTCGAGATGGCCGGTGCCCACGCAGAGCACCCCCATCCCGACAGGGGGATAGCCTGGCAATTCAGTTAACAGCAACGACAGTTCTCTCTGTAAAATACGAGTACAACGATGCGCCGATGGATCTGCGCACATGACGCTAGTTGTAGGTAGTATTAATTCTTGCCGGTAGGTGGATCTGCCAACCGTCGCTTCATTTTCATGAAAAGAGATTACCGAGCAGAGCTTCCTGAAACCTGCAGCTTGCAACTTCCGCAGCAGCAGATGAGGCTGACGCGAACTCTGAACGCTTTTCCTGTCGGTTCATGGTTGAACGACAAGCCGCTGCTTCGTGGCCCGAGAAGACCAAGCGAACAAAAGGGACCGCTGTACACCCTTTCGCTATGTAACGATGCCTTTCAAATGCGTCGGCGAGAGAGGAAGACGATAAGCAGGGAAGGATTTGTTATGTAAGGATCGCGGGCTACTTCAATATGCTTTCATGGCATTCGCCTGGAGAGGCCGAAGATAACCATGAAGAACGTCAGTGATGACGGCCGGTAACAGGTCAGAACCGGGTAAAAAATGGTGAAGCTGTCCCTGTAACAGGCCGTGGCGGCTCATAGGGTTCTGAGACATCGAGGCACCCAAATTTTATAGACAATCAGCTCACAGATGACGGTGAGGTTGTCAGCCTCATGCGCCGGCCGCCCTTTGACCCCAGAAACATTTCTGGTATAGTAAACCCTCGCTAATTCGGTTACAGTTAATTCGGATGTCGAATAATCCGGATCGAAATATGAAAGATGGTGTTCACAGTTGAGTACATACCTCAGAAGACACATTGGATTTAGGAAGGCAGATAAAACACTTGTCTCTTCAGACAGAACCTGACAGTTTCTTCAAAATTTCATTATTACGTTCGAAAACATGTACAACTTCTGGGTGTACAATTTCATCTATCGATGAACAAATGTATTGCTTTTTTATAGTCTTTTAGGACTGCCTTCTGCTTCACTACGCCGGATGACCTCCCCCCCCCAAAAAAAAATTAATCCGGATTAGTGAGGGTTTACTGTGTGAAGTTGGTGATGCAAGCAACCGGTCTGGAAGTGCAACTGAAACGCCACACAGGAGGCTGCAAGAAGCGTCTCCAGGAAGCGGGGACCATGACTCGAGAAATGAAAACAACAAAACCAGAAATCTGAGGTGGACAACTCGCCAGATTCACTTGAGAGCAGAAAAGAGAGAGTGTGAAGAAAGCATGGCGCACGAGGAGAAAGGTAAAACTGACAGAGCGAAGGAAAGGACAGAAATTTCTCATCTGGCCTACTTTTAATACGATTTAAAGTTTCCGACATCATTGCTTATTACTTTCAATCTTACATTAAATACGTTACATTAAAGGGGACGTCTCGAGGGTGCCAACGCATGCATGTCCAGTGCGTACTTCGACCAAGAAATTGCCCTCGGCGTCTCTACTTTTCCAGCACACGGGAGGCGACTGACCGCTGTCACTGTGGGCTTGCTACCGCTCCCAGCCCAAGCCATGAGAGGTCCTGTGAGGGCCATGGACACACACCGGCACATATTATCATGTTCTGCTAACACGTACACGCGGATATGTTGAAACAGTTTATCTATCACAAAGTGAATGAATGATAAGCAGGTTAACATTGCGAAGGAATGCTCCAAACAATGAAAGCAAGTAAATGCTCCGATTTGTCATCGCGACCCTTAGAACTGACAATCAGTCATCAGAGGCTGACAATGCGATGGGAAGCGACGTGGAATCCTATATCTGCAGGAAAAGTTTCGGAAGAGCAAAAATTCATGTCGATAGTTCGATATGGTACACTACTGACGAAACAATTTAGATATTAGTGATCCAAATCTCGTAATTCATTTTCACCGAAAGTAAAACAGAAACGTGGGCCAAAAATCCAGCTGGAAGTGTCCTCCACTGTTCTCAACACATTCCTCTCATTGCGTTTCAGGGGACACGTACAAAGTATCCGCTGGAGACAGAAGTTTCGGTACAGTAAACCCTCGCTGATCCAGATCGAAAAATGAAAAATTCTGTTCACATATGAGTACTCGCTTTAAAAGACACAAGATATTTAGGAGCAAGAGGACTTTCAGACTGTGTTGAGGGTAGCTGGAGAGACTGAAATCATGCAAGAAAATATCCAAGACTGGTTTGAGCTGGATAAAGGAGACCCTGGATTTCAGTTTGTGACAGAGGAAAACTGCTGCAGTGATATTTTTTTATTTATTATCAGCACTGCCTTCATTATTAAATTTTCCATTTATTTGTTTTCAAAGTTTTGATGTCTTTTAATCCTATATTTTATTTCACAAATCCAGATTATAGCTTAATCCGGATGACCTCCGCCAATTAATCCAGATTAGCGAGGGTCTGCTGTATTTACTTTCAATTGCTTGGGTCGTTTTGGTACATGCGTTCTTCAAGCAAAGCTTTTCAAATCAAGGAATATTAGATCCAGAGACCTGCATTGTCACACTCCCTCCGAAATAATCCCGTCTGGAAGAAATTCCTTTAACATAAGCACTGCTGCCTTGCCGAATACAACAGCGATGTTCGGGCAAGGAGCACGACCACAATGATTCCTGCCAGCGCATCACAAAGCACAAAGCACCGGCATGTAGGAATGTGAACGCGACCTGGTACTCAGCCATACCGGCATGCAGGAATGTGAACGCGACCTGGTACTCAGCCATACCGGCATGCAGGAATGTGAACGCGACCTGGTACTCAGCCATACCGGCATGCAGGAATGTGAACGCGACCCGGTACACAGCCATACCGGCATGCGGGAATTTGAACGCGACCTGGTACTCACCTTCTTCTTGCGCGGTAGCTCATCGTAGTCATCGATGACGATGCCTTCATCAGTGGTTACCTGCGACCAGAAGGTAGATGTGGAGCCCCCTTCGCTGAGCGGGGGAGAGGGCGTCGAGCTCCTCCAGGAGCAGGCGTCGCTGCTGGGACTGGGGGACTGGTGCTCTCCCCACGACATTCCTGCACAGACAGTGACGGCGTGTTAGCTCAACACCGGCAACTACCTAAAGGCGGACCAGAGTTTCAAGTGCATCCACTTAATCTCTGTTCACAGACGTGAGTCCAGAATAAGACATTCACAACCCTCTCTCCACTGTGTTGCTAAGTCAATGACGAGCGAGGCAGATCGAGATTTTCATGGTGACGAAGTTTCAAACTTCGGTCTGTGCAACGATACCGTGTAAACACGTGCGTGGGTGAGTACCAACGTTCCGGAGGAACACACCATCTCAGCCGTTAGTGAGGGAGAATGTTCCTCTGAAACGCTAGTATCATCTACCAGACTGCATGGTCTCATGAAGTCAGAGTCACGTATACGGGTGACCACAGACGGGGTTTGAATTGGTGAATAGATTTATGGACGGTTTACAGGTCGTAATTACAAATAACATAACACTATCGCTATTTCCACATTTTACAGTTCACTAGAGCACAAAGTATGTTACCGGACGTTTCCTCGTAACGGCTCCAACAATGGCTATTCCTCTGCCTCCGGTTCAAGCCCTTTCTCCACAGACACCCGTATGGAACTCACTCTCAACTGACTACGCTCTAGAACTTCTAGTTATAACATGTCGGCACGGACCACACAGAACACACAGTTCTTCTAGTGTTACGTGCTTGTAAGTTGCAGGCGCTACCCAGTAACGGCCACTGTTCACAGAGTTGCGGCTTAGCAACGGGTCCATACGCTACAATATAAAAGCAGAAAACCCTAACGCAGGAGAGCCAGATGTCGATGGGAAAACAAGAGTGAAGTGGACCTTGAAGCAGTGATTCTCAATCGTCTGTATCTTGCGTCCTACCTGTCATGTTGACAAAACAAAATATACAGAGTGTCTACAAAAGGTCTGACACATTTTGATCTTTAATAATTCGGAAAATAACGAAGCTAGAAATAAACTGGTTACATTGTTGCATTGAGAAACTCAAAAAGTTTTGTGTCCATGATTTATTTAATCCGTCTTGCAGTGCATACACTCATTTTTCTCCTTCTCTCCCTCGCACTACATGTTTCGGCATAATAATGCCATCTTCAGGTGCTTACTTATCCACGTCAAACCAGTTCATTGCATGCCATGTTCACACATTAAAATAACTAAAATATGTATCTATCATATACATTGTCAAACGTTAAAAATATTAATTGACAATTAAATATTGACAATGTATATGATAGATACATATTTTAGTTATTTTAATGTGTGAACATGGCATGCAATGAACTGGTTTGACGTGGATAAGTAAGCACCTGAAGATGGCATTATTATGCCGAAACATGTAGTGCGAGGGAGAGAAGGAGAAAAATGAGTGTATGCACTGCAAGACGGATTAAATAAATCATGGACTTAAATCAGTGCAACAGGACGCTAAAATATAACATAAGTTTTGTGTCTATTGTTAATAAAGTTGTACATGTGCTCCATTTGTTGCACGTGAAATATCAAGACGATATTGGATTTCTTGCCAGGTTCGGGCAAGCATACCGACATCCACAGTGGCCCCCAAATGCGTACGTTATGGTGATTGACTGTTCCAGAAATATGGAAGCAAGCTTCATCAGAGAACAATACGGTTGTAAGAAATCTTTCATCATCCTCTATTCTTCGTAACATATCTGTTGCAAAATCCATGCTCGTACTCTTACCAGAGTAGGAGACGCAACAGCCACTGTGGATGTCGGTATGCTTGCCTGAACCTGGCAAGAAATCCAATATCGTCTTGATATTTTACGTGCAACAAATGGAGCATATGTACAACTTCAATAACAATAGACACAAAACTTTTTGAGTTTCTCAATCCAACAATGTAACCAGTTTATTTCTATCTACGTTATTTTCCGAATTATTAAAGATCAAAACGTGTCAGACCTTTTGTATTTCCCGAGAAGTGTACTTTTATATTATGTACACTTTGATATTCCGTTATTCATGAATAGAAGCTCTTATTTAGGGGACTTAAAACCCCTTCCTCCCCAGACGGGCGTGTGCCACGGGTGAGACACGCCGCCTCAGAGAACGCGCTGTCGTCCCTCGCAACACACACGGACAAGCAACTTTCTGACCAGTTCAGTAAGCGCCGACTTCTCAAGGAGATGTGTAAAACGGAAGCAGTTGATTATTTATTTATTTTTATTCGTAATTTATTTAACGACACTACATTATACCAAACTACGTAACGACCAATTCCACAATGATTAATGAATGATGAAGTGTAATTGCAAATGCAATTGCTTGCAAAAAAACTGGACACCCATAAAAGAGTTCCATCTTCTGGGACAATAAGCCGCGTAGTCCGTTGAAGCAAGCTCAGATCTGCTTGCTGCCTGCTTCATGCTGGTTTCTAGCTAAGCTTACTCTTTTCCTGAAGATGGAGACTACGTGATCGTCCGAAACGTCGATTTACTTTCAACGGACTACACAGCGTTATATCCCAGAAGACAGAGATCTTCATAAGCTCAGCTGCGACAACATGGATACTCCTAAATGCGATCACATGTTCCATGCAGATTTGTGAACCACTGCATCTGCCTTTACTTTTGTACTCGTACATTCCGTATCAGTTCAGGTCAATACATCGGTGGCTTAGTCGGTATCTTCTACACAAATACAATCGTTTCTTCTTTATCTTGTCAGGATCTTTTCAATGGTAATTCTTCTTTGGTTTGATCTACATGATAGAGCCATATTAATGATACGACATTATTCGCGATAAACTGTATAGCTGCCGGTTAGTAACACAAAAACGGTCACCGATATTAACTGTCATCTACCCGCCCACTCAACATGCGCCATCTCGAAATCACGAGAAAATCCCTTCCTCTGTCACTGCGGTGCACGTTCAGTCACACAGTTGGCGATCCTGTCCCTCAAGCATGCCTTCCAGCGTCTTCTCTGCGATAATTACTATCACTAAAACAGACCTCGGCCGGTCACGGTAGTCGAGCGGTCTAAGGCATGCACTGTCTTCGCTAGCTCGGAAGCCGGGATCGTGGGTTCGAATCCCACTCAGGGCATGGATGTTTGTGTGTGCGTTTTTCTGTGTTTGTGTACAGGTAGAGGCGTTGCGACGAGCTGATCACCCGTCCAAGGAGTCCTACCGAATGTGTAAGATCTAGAAAAACCGAAGTAAACGGAGAAGTTCATGGAGGTAGGCCTAGGCCCACTGGGGCTGTAGNAAGAGAGACGTGTTGGGCGGCGGGCCGACGGCCGGGGGGGTTTGCGGGCCGAGGGGGGGGGGGGGAACAGACCTCGTGATAATGGGCATGGCGACGCCTGAAAAAGTAAAGCTATCCCTTTATCAGGCCGTGGAGGCTCATTGGGTTGTGAAATGCCGAGGCTCCTACATTTTTTCTAGATATCGCCTCACAGATGGCGGTAAGGTTGTCAGCCTTACGCGCCGGCATGCGCCCTTTACTCGCAGGAAGATTCCTGGTATAATAAACCCTCGCTAATCCGGTTACAGTTAATCCAGATGTCGGATAATCCGGACAGAAAAATTAAAAATGCTGTTCACATACTTTAAAATACACATGGCATTTAGTGAGGCAGATGAGTCACTTGTCTGCTCAGGCAAAACTTGACAGTCTCTTCAAACCTGCCTTATTACGCTCAAAAACAAACACAACTTCCGAGTCTGCTATCGATGAACAAATGTAGTCTTTTATGGTTTTTAAATAAGGCTCTACAGTGACATTTTTCACTTATTTCCATCAGCACTACTTATATCATTAATTTTTCCGTTTATTTGTAGTTCAAGTTTTTCTTTTGTCTTATATGGCCATCTTTTGCTTCACTAATCTGGATTATCACTTAATCAGGACGACCGCTCCCTTCCCCGCAATTTCTACTGATTGGCGAGGGTTTACTGCACTCGTCTGTCAGAGGCTGTGGCCTGGGCGCAGGCGGCTTGTTTTGTGTTCTTGCTTCCTTCTGATCTTGTTTTCACTTCGTGTGACCATCAATTGGCAGATACCGCAGCATGCAATGACAAGACGTAAATAAAACCGCTTTAAGTATTACGACGGGTTTTGTCACAGTGCCTGGAAAAGTCGCATTATTAGTTTTGACAAGTATTTTGGAAGATTACCTGTTTCTAACCGAGAGGAGCTTGTGTCTGTGTGCGAAATATCAGCACAGTCGGCGCAAGCTGTCCAAGCCATAAGGCACACGCTACGCTGACGTCTGTAGTCCGCTGACAGAATGTTTCTACATTGCTTGCACAACACGGACATGGGTGTACAGTAGACCGTCGCTAATCCGGATTAATGAAGCAAAATGTAGCCCCAGAAGACAAAAAGCTCAGAAAACAAATAAATGTAACATTTAATAAGATAGGTAGTGTTGATGAAAATAAATAACAAAATATCACTATAGAGCCTTTATCTAAAAACTATAAAAAGACAAGAAGCTGAAATCCAGGGTCTCCTTCATCCAGTTCAAGCCAGTCTTGGATATTTTTTGCGTAGTTTCAGTCTCTCCAGCCGCCTCAACACAGTCTGAAAGTCCTCTTGCTCCTAAATCCCACGTGTCTTTTAAAGTATGTACTCAACTGTCAACAGAATTTTTCATATTTCGATCCGGATTATCCGACATCCGGATTAACTACAACCGGATTAGTGTTGGTTTACTGTACTTCACTCGTTTCTTTCTTCAAAGATTGCGAGTTGGTACCCTAATAGTTATCTTAATTGACACTGCAGGGGGCTTCCCACTAATTTTAATCCATTTGTTCGGGTGTTCAGTGATAAAACATCTCATCATTGTGCAACATGCATATTATCGTACTGCATTTGCGTCTTCTTCAGTGATCGAATCATTTTCCATTTTAACAGCCAACTTCTATAACATTGATAATTTCAACTCGTTCCCCTTTAAACGATTTTATCAAAGAACTTCCGCAAGTGTCCATACCCGGAGACGAAAGCAACAGCGAGGCTCAGAACCTGCCACTGAAACGCC